ATCATTATTACAGCTCTTGGTATTTATTATCTTCTATAATTCTAGAAAGGTTCTATCACTTTATGTGACCACCGGTAGTAGGCATGAGTGTTTTCAATTTTATGATATTAAAAACACACTCTTGGGCTGGGGTTGTGGCTCAACGGTAGAGCTCTCGCCTAGCACGTGCAAGGCCCTGGGTTCGATCCTCAGCACCACATAAAAATAAACAAAAAAAAATAAAGGTATTGTGTACAACCAAAAAATAAATATTAAAAAATACATTCTTAACACCTTCTTTCATTGTATTATAATTGGTGGTAATGGTTTATTTCACTCTTAACTTTTGGAAAAAATTTCTGGTCCTCACGATTAGCATGTCATCAACACCAGGAGAACAGGGATTAAGTTCTCACTTATCTTACTTAGCCAAACAGAGGACACAAAACATGTCTCTTGGGCTATCTGTGTGTAATGCCTCCCCAAAACAGAGATGTTAGCCAGACTTCAGAGATGGGCCCAACGCCTCTGAACACAGTTGCAAACACAAATCTTCCATTGCTGCAAGTCAAGATTGAACCCAATGCCTTACCATAGACCCTGCTTCACTGTACATTTACTAAGTGAATGAAAAGATAACTGTTTATTATATTGATGGCTTCTTCAAAGTATAAGAAAAATAATTTTGAGTAGGGCAGTTCTCGGAATTAGGAAGGTCTGTCACAAAACAAAACAAAACAATCACCTTCACCACAACACTGCCCAGCCCTGCTTTTCTAATGAGTTGGCTTTTCCAAACCTGAGTTTCTCTCCCTCCAATAAATAAAGGAAAGACACTTTCAACGAACCATATCAGGGAAAGGGCTTCCTGCATTATGCTAACATCTACTATAAAACAGAAATCTAATGCAAGATGCATCAAATAAGAGCAAAATCTCTGGGGACTAGATTCAGCTAGCATGCTGATGCCATGTAGCTGAGAGCCTGTGGCAACATTTCCACTACAAAATGCAATAATCCAGAGCCGTCACAAATTGAATGAAGAGGTAATAATTAAGTTGTTGCACCTCTCTTATTCCAGAAAAATAATTTAAAAATTAAATTGTACATGTAGATATGAGGGGAACTATGCCGCTGGCAATGCTGGTCAGTTTGAAACTTACAAAGGACTCCCCCACATTTGCAGTCCATTCTTCTGAACTTATTGGAATCTTGCATTTTTTATTGAGTTATTATTGTTATTGCTTTTTAGGGGAAAAAATGAGTCTTAAAATCACAAATAAGAGAGTTATAAGATGTTGAAAGTAATCTAGTTCACAACTTCTCATTTTAAAACCTCAGAGAAGTAATAAATAGCAGAGCCAAAGACTATGGAAATAACGACTTAATTTCATTGCCTTTGAAATCCCATTAGATCTTTGATTTTGTTCTATATAAATAATTTCTTTTATTAGAGGAATGTAAAAGATATTGAGCATTCGTACTTAGGAAGAAGCACTTTAGAGTATCAATTTATGTTAGGTAAAATCTTATAGAAACACAAAAGCTAGCTTTTTTCAGAGATTTAGATAATGTCATTTAGATATTAGAAGACAACACAATTGAATCTTGGAGCTTAAAGGGATTTTAGGTATTTTCTAATATGACCAATTTTAGATAGGAGCTGATTGAAAACCACAGAGATGAGAGACATGTAAGGGCACACGATCAGAGGGGCTGAGTCAGTGTTTCCTAACTCCTAGCTCAAGGTTCTGTCTGTCTTATCAAGTTGACTTTTCTATATTACAGCCTGGTATGGCATCTGATAATTTAACTCATAAAAATCCTAAGTGTTATAAAATATGAATGGGCTATCACTATGGCCTTCTTATTTTTTCAGTCTCCTTCTATTGTTTAAGGGCAGCTTTTTCTCTTCAAGTATACCAGGACCACTGATTTTAAAAGCCAAGGCAAAAACAGTCCTGGCCCTTGTGGTAAAACATGAGTACTGAGCACCCAACAATGAAGGACAAAGGTATCCCTGTCACCAACCATCATCTGCAACACATTCTCATTCACTTCTTGATGCCTCTGGCTACTTGGCAGCCTTGTTGGGCCAGGCTGCACTGACTGAGGACCAACTCACCCTTTGAAGGTTAAAAATCTTTAACCTAAACCCAGTACGTCCCTGGTACCCAGGTGATGCAATATTAGCATTCTCCTCTGCTATTATCTGTGACACTTCAATTAGGCTCTGTTCCTCCTTAGGCTTCAATTTGTTCTATGATAAAACTGCAGAGATCTCTGCAGTTCTAAAATGCACTGGTCTGTTATTTAAGGGACAGTTATTGTTATAAAGGGAGAGGAAAAGCTGAAACTCAGGTGGCTTCCTGATGCACTGCATTGGAGCCCTTACTCTTTTCTGTCTCTGCCCACCCAAACCAGTCAGTGAGAGTGGTTAGAAGAATGCTTGAGGGAAAGAATTGCTTGATCCTCATGAACAACTGGTGAAGCCAGGGAGAGATGGACAAAAACAAAGCAGAGATATTTAGAACAAAGCCGGGAATGTGGGAGGAAGGGCTGATTCATGTCTCTTATTAGATAAAATAGTCTTTAGGCACAGACTCAATTCTAGATTTTATCCTAGCAGAACAAATGTTAGGGAAGTCATTTAAATCCTGGCTGAAATGCTATCAGAAGGTGTCTTGCTGCTGCTTTACACTGATTTGGGAGCAGCAGTTCTATCGCAAAGCTTGCTGCAGTCTACCCCAAGGACAGGACACATGGCAAGACTATAAAAATCTCTTCTGTGTTATCCTGGGAGACTGGTCCAAATCATAACCTCTGCCCACACAGCAGCAAGATACACACATAACTATGAAACCACCATCAGCAGCTTGATGTATCTGCTTTACTTCCTGCTGTGACCAAGCTCAAATAGCCATGTTCTAGCTCAGTCTATTGCTTATATTACAACCCAGCACAAGTCTAGGGGGCAACCTCCACATCTGTGATCACCATAAATCTCTATCTTTATTATGACAATTTTCTGGCAGGTGACAGCACAGGTTTTGAAGAAAAGGCGGTGAAAGGACCATGTGGACTAGGAGCAGGTCTACCCCTCCCAAATCCATACAAAATCACATTATCAGCCCAGAGAAGGCTGAATTTATGTCTCTATTACCTATGTTCATATGAACTGAAATGTACACCAGCAGTGATATCACCATTGTCCTATCAGAGTTCCTAGATCTTGTGTAATTGTTATAAAGATGAAAAAATTTACCTTTAAAAAGTAAAAATACCAACAAAATGTGACATCCCATAATTAACAAACATCCTTTATTCCAGTAGTAGTCACCTACAGAAATTTTACCACCTGTCTGGAAAAATCTCAAAGAGTGTAATACCCTCTTGCTCAGGCTCACTGGGGGCTTCTGGAGAGTGCTGGCAAGCCTCAGAGTTGAGACTAGCCTTCCTATGGATGGTGAGCATCAGCAAAAGTGGGGACACAGTCCATAATCCAAGACACTGTGGAAGGCAGAGTTCAGATACCTGGCACAAATCTGGAACATTTCAGAAGGTACAAAGAAGAACTAGATCACTGGTGAGGATAAGAAATGAGTTCCCATCTGTTTCATCTAAATAGGTCACACTGAACATGTACTGGTAGCCACAAAAATGTCAATGATTTCTCCTCGGTCTCAAACCTCATTGTATTTTTGATGTTCTCTTTTTTCTTTTTAAGGTCAGGTTTATTGTGATGACATTTACTTTGAGAAAATTTCATCCTTTTAATGCACAATCTACAGGTTGGAAAAAGCTCACAACATTACTATTGAAATATAGAAGTTTTATCATAACCAAAATTCCATCATGTAGGAGTTTTAATCAATCCCTCCATCTAGCCTATGACAGCCACTGATTTGATAAACCAGACTGTACTTTGATACAAATTTCTGTACTGTCTAGACTTCCCTCTTAAATATTTACCATATTTTATTGATTCCAACACCAGAATTGAGCACACTGAAATCAGGTCATATTTCAAAATCAATGGCATCTTAATTTATCTAGAAACATTTTTTTTTTAATTTATTCTTTTTAGATATACGTGACAGTAGCTGACAACAAATTTTAAGAAATACCTGAAATAGCAATGCGTCTCATAATGTACAGTACTTTAAAAAAAAAATCAGTGAAGTCTTTTATTTCTTAACATTCATTGACTACTTACTATGTGCTGAGCACTCTTCTAGACACTGGAAACATAAAAATGAATACACAGCCCTCAAGGAGCTAACATTTGAAAGGAGGAGACATAAATAATAATAAAAATGCCTATGGTAATGTCTGTAGCAAAGGCCTAGCCACTCACTGAGACTAAAAAGAATTATCTCTAGGTCAGAATCTTTCTTCAGGAAAAATGTCCCCCAAATCACAGGCTTCCATGTACACAGGAAATAAGAATGAGGGTGGTCACCATTTAGCTTCTCCCCATTCATTCCAGGAGTGAGTTACTGCCATACCATATGACATATTGCCTAGGAACAATCCAATTATTTTTCCATAATACGCTGCTATAGTGGAGAAGTCTCATTTTAGTGTTCAACAGCTGCAAGGCTTTTATGATAATATTGAAAGAAAGAAGTCACTGGAAATAACTGCTCAATCTGTGAAAGGCAGATGTCCCAAATCCTTCACACACATGCTTCAAGGTCCCCACATTTTTCCCTGGACAACTTTTTTTTTTTAATATTTATTTTTTAGTTGTAGTTGAACACAATACCTTTATTTTATTTATTTATTTTTATGTGATGCTGAGGATCGAACCCAGGGCCTCACATGTGTTAGGTGAGTGCTCTACCACTGAGCCACAATCCCAGCCCTCCCTGGACAACTTTCAAAGGGACTGTAGAAGAGGAACATCGAACCCAGGGCCTCACATGTGTTAGGTGAGTGCTCTACCACTGAGCCACAATCCCAGCCCTCCCTGGACAACTTTCAAAGGGACTGTAGAAGAGGAACATCTGTGCCCTTACCTGGTTCTTGAAAGTGCTCCTCATTAGACAAAGTCCTAGACAAGATTAGTATTAATGCTTCTTTGAATTGGTCAAAATGCACCTAAAAAATAAAAAAAAAAAATTTAAAATCATTTCCACAGTGCCAAGATATCTATGAGGTACCAGAAGAGTTTGTTCCCATCCTGACAGCCTTGAATTGAGTCATTGCCCATCTTTGTCCCCTTTTTTCTTCATTTCTCTAAAGTACAGAAGGGACAATTGGCTGATCATTTTGATATTCAGTGCCATAAACAAATTAGTATTATATCAACATTGATATTTATTCAACCCCCAAGGGAAAAAGCTGTACAGCAAAACCCTCTTAAAAGCTAAAAAGCTTAAAAGATATATATATATATATATATATATATATATCACACACACACACACGTGTATGTTTGTGTGTGTGTATTTAACTCTTAGCTTCTTTTATTTTTTCAAACAAGAACAGAAAAGAAAAATGTTAGGTTAGATATTAGGAAAAACTTCCCAAGTAAAGTTTTAGCTCTTAAGATATTCTAGAAGAGGTAAGCTTTCTTTTGAGGATGACTGGACTATGGTCTTTCCTGAGGCAGGAATATAATAATTTATCTCCCAGTTGCCCAAGAGTCTATAAACAAGCATAAGTCAATAGCAAATCAGGAGATAAGAGAATCTTGAGAATAATTTTCATGAATCCATAATAATACAAATGCCTTGACTGCAGTGTGAAAGAATCTGTCTTATTTAAGGAAATAGTCAGAACTGGGATATTATTTTGCTTAAAAACATAAAACAATTTTCTTTTTGGCCAGCTAGATTTTTCTATAACTTCAACTTAAGGGACAGGAAGAAGAGATGGTAGTTCTTCTCATCATAAGGCTTCTTGGATAATGTGGCACCTATTTACTCCATAGATAAATACAAAAGGAAAGTTTGATAAATGTTGCAACCTTTGCTGCTGTGGATTTTTCTGGATGTCATTAAAAAACACTGCCTAGAGGCTTAAACATAGGTGACAGATTAAAAAACACCTCCTAGTTAAATTTGGAAAAGCAAGAAACCTTATTAGTTATCTAAACAATGGGGGAAAATCAGATAAGATATTACCTGTGCAATCAAAGCAAAGGAGAAGAATCCATCTTCATTTATGTCATAAAATTGTGTTTGCTTACAATTTACCACACACTTCCAAGGAATATGTGACTTCCCAACCACATGATTTTAATTAAGTAAAATTACTTCCCCAAATCATATTTCTTTTAGACTGAACGTTACATATTTTTAAAAATGTTTAATTGCATATATTTAAGGTGTACAACCTGGTGGCTTGATATATATTTATATACTGTAAAAAAATCATCATAACCAATCTAATTAACATATCCATCATCTCATAGGTTTATTACTTTTAAAACTGCTTGTTGTCATGAGGACATTTAGGATCTATATACTCTTGGCAAATTTCAAGTTAGATTTATGGTCTTGAAAAATCAACAATCAAAGGAGCCACAGTAGTCTGTCATGGGAGGCAGGGCATCTGCTAAAGAGATAGTGGGATACAACCCATGGACAGTTAAACAGTTGCAGGAATGCAAGCTCTGCTAACCAGGATTCACAACTGACAAATTACTTCAAAACCCCTGGGAGGGAGGATTTGTGGTCCTAGTTTCAGGAATGGGCTTTAAGCACAGTGTACCCCAGTTCTAGTTCACATGGCAACACCATATTCCCTACCAGCCATTCATAAACATCCCATACCCAGGAGCTTTCCCATCCGGGCCACTTAACGGGCATCTCCTAATTCCTAGCAGAAGTATTCCTATTCCCAGGGCAGGCAGCAGAGGGTTTGGAAGGACACACAGAGGCTCTGGTGTCAGGCAGGTCCAGGTTCTAACTCTGGTGCTGCTGATCACTTCCTGTTGTGAAACTGCTAAACCTCTCTGAGCTATTCTTTGCTCATCTGTCAAACTGAGGATATCTATCAAATAATATAATTCACTCAACAAATATTTATTGAGTAGCTGCTATATGTCAAGCACTGTCAGATACATGGCACAAATCTGGAACATTTCAGAAGGTACAAAGAAGAACTAGATCACTGGTGAGGATAAGAAATGAGTTCCCATCTGTTTCATCTAAATAGGCACTGGTGATACAGCAGAGAACAAGAGTGACAAAAGACTTGGCTTCATGGAACTCCGCTCTCAGGAAATATCAAAAGGAGTCAGGCAGGTACTATGCTAACAGCACTGTATGAATTTTATGGTTTTTAGAGTAACTCCTCCCTCGTCATGTTACCAGCATTCTAACTTAGAGCCCTGACTCTGGGGTCCTAACTAACCAGGCTCAACCAACCTGCCAAAAAAAAAAAAAAAAAAAACAAGCGGAAAAGGTCATGGTGAAATGTAGCAAAGGGAGCTTTAGTTAATATGGCCATAATGGGAAGGCAAAGTGTGAGATCCAGCATCTCAGCCCTGTCTTGGGGCACTGATGGGTGCTTTAGGTTCAAACAGGAAGGATTGGGGGTCAAGAGGTAGGCATAATTAAACAGATTTGGTCAAACTTGTCTGGTTGATCATTCTTTCAGTTCTGGTTCCATGAAGTGGCACCAGAGAAGCCATTATCACTCTGAGGGGCAATTTATACTTGTGGTTCTGGATGTTTATCCATCAGACCTGTGATCCTGGAAAGTGGCAACTCAATTCTCATGAAGTGACTGCTCCTGGTGTTCCTGGAAGGTGTAGGACAGGATTTAAAACTTCTAGGTGCTACTCCAGAGATCTGAAACTGCATGCCATAGACTTCCCTGCAAATTTGGCTTCAGTCTTGAAGAGTGATGAGACATGTTGGCTAAATTTAGGACCAATAAACCTTGTATTACTAGTTTTAGATAAGTACTCCTTAGTTGATGAACATGCCTATGTTCAAAGCTGAGCAGGGACCCAACCCAAAGTTTAAAGAAGACAGATACAAAACCTGTAGGGCTCAGTAGACCCAGGAGGTCACAGCTTTTAGCAAAGGCATTCTTGTTTCCAAATCTATTACAATAGCAGTGTTAGAGAGATAAAATGAAAACCATGTAAAATGTCTAGAACACCCTAGAATTTCCTAAGTATCCCACAAGTGGTAGTTAATACTACTAATAGTGGGGGTGACTGTTCCCACCACTATTACAGTCAAACTGGGCCTACATTTTGAAGCGAAGCAGCTGACTGTGGGAGCAGTTGAGATAGATGAGTGGAAGGGTGGGATGGAGCAGGGAGTTTGGGAGCCCACCTTCTCCCAGCCCCAGGACCTGTAGAATTGCTCAGAACCAGAGGAACTGATCTGGTCTGCTGTGTGTGGGACCCCCAACTCTGGTTTCTTGCTCTAAGATATTCATGGAGGAACCTGAACGAGCCTAAACTTACCCTGGCTTCAAGCTGAATGGCAGGCTCCTGTTTCAAATCCTTCATACTGACTCTGTAGGTCTCCCTAGGATCTTTCAATGGTCTAAGTTTTGGCCAGGGCAACGGGAAAGAGCCCTTCTGAATTGTGTCCTGACACAGTTCAATTCAGTAGATGGCAGTGGTGAGGGTCACCCAGGGGTTTACATACTTCAATTTTATTCCCCTGACAAATGACAATGCACACATAATTTGTACTTCCAAGACTTTATATGAGGCCTAAATCTCCCTTTTATAAGGTATAATAGGCCTGGGGTTGTGGCTCAGGGTCTGGGGTTGTGGCTCAGTGGTAGGCACTGGGTTCGATTCTGCACCGCATACCAATAAATGAGAAAAATAAAGGTCCATCAACAACTAAAATTTAAAAGAAAAAAAGAAAAAATAATAAGGCATAACAAACACAAAAATGCTTGAGATGGTACAAACTTCATGCATATGAAGGCTGTTCATCCTGTAACTCCATCTACCTAGAGTCCAACAGAAAATGAGGAAACTTACAAGGGAGGTGTAAGGCTAAGCAGGGCCCTGTAGAGCCCTGAGCTCTTGCCTAGGAACAGCCACAGGACCAACACAGGATCTCCTTACTCTTACACTACCAGATTTTTTAGAAACTTCATTATCTGCTTCCTAACCCAGTACAGAGCAGAAGTAGCAAATAAAAGAAAGGGGTATTCCAAGGTAAGACCAGGAAGTAACTACTGACATATTTGAATTGAGAAAAGACATTAGTTATCTTCCTTCAAACAAAAGTGATGTGTAATATTTTTATGCTTTAAAAACCATTTTTTTAAAAAAAGTTTTTTAGCTATAGTTGGACACAATACTTTTATTTTACTTATTTTATGTGTTGCTGAGGATCAAACCCAGTGCCTCTCATGTGCTAGGTGAGCACTCAGCCACTGAGCCACAACCCCAACCACCATTTTTAAATCTACAGAACTGATTAAAAAAAAAAAATGGCATGTCCACTCAAAAATAGGTCGTGGTCATTAGTGTTGGGATAAAGATTAATAAGCTACTGAAGGAATCCTCAGGGTATCATTCTATTATATTATAAAAGAAAAGCTGATAGATCAAGAAGATTTTATGATCAAGGACAATCTAATTTATGTTTAATTATTCTTTGATAGGATAAAACTTCAGAAATCTCCAGTACTCAACATGTTGTGTGTTCCCTCTCTCTCTCTCTCTCTCTCTCTTTCATCTGTCACTATATGGGGTAAAAGGTCCAGTTATCTCCAGTTAACCAGAACATTTTATTAACATGAGTCCTGAATAATACCAAGTGAATGGGGGTATTTTTGAAAGTTCATTCTTTCCTAGAAATTTTGTCCTTTCAACTTCACAACATCCATGTGAGATAGTCAAAGCAGAGAGTGCCCCTACCCCCTTAAAATTTAAGAGAAGTAGCGCAGAGAGGGCACGTGCTTGAGGCCATGTGTCTTGAAAGTGATGGGGTGGCTTGGAGACCCTAAGTAAGCTAGGTCTTCTGGTGGGCCTCTTCAAGGTCCAGCCTGACCCAGACCCACTTCCCTCCTGATCTGACCTCTCTGGGAAAACCCCTGCTGCTGCAAGTCAAACCCTACCCTTCATACAGAGCAGCTGGGTGTAAGATGGCAATAGGGGATCAGTC